GCCGTGTATTTAGCCCGGTGTTAGCCTGTTAGCGCCGTGTATTTAACCCGGTGTTAGCGCCGTGTATTTAGCCCGGCGTTAGCCTGTTAGCGCCGTGTATTCAGCCCGGCGTTAGCCTGTTAGCGCCGTGTATTCAGCCCGGTGTTAGCCTGTTAGCGCCGTGTATTTAGCCTGCTGTGAGCCCGGCGCTGTGCCCGTTTGTGTGCCCTCACGCTCGGATGATGTTGCCCAGCGTGTGGTCCTCCTTGTTCAGAGTGAACAAACAGGCGTTTGGGACTTTGGTGTCCTTGCTGATGCTGATCTTTTTCTCTCCTTCGAACAGCAGGAACGACTCGAAGGCAGGAGGCGCGTTCATCTTCCCGGACTGACCAGCGAAGCTGCCGCTGCTTCCGTTTGAATCAGCGGCTCTTTAAGCAGCCTGAAGCGGCAGCAGCACCGCCTGGAGGCCGAGAGAAAACCTCCTGTTGGCTGCTTTAGCCAAGTACCCCTGACTGCAGTACGCAGATAGGGGCGGGGCTCAACGTGGGCGGAGTCAAACGTTTACCCCAATTTTTAATCCCTCCCGTTGACGCGAGGGTGTGCGTATTGGAGAAGAAGAAGAAGAATCAGTACAAGAGAGAAGACAGTATTCTGACAAAGAAGAAGAAGAAGCAGCAGATTATTAGAGGGTTAGGGACTGCGTCCTGCAGTCAGGGGCTTCAGGTGTTTCATCAGCTGACTGCAGAGAACCAGCTCAGGTGTTTGATGGGAAACAAGGCGGCTCCACTGAGAGTGTTTGTGGGGAAACACAACAACAAAACCCGTTTGAGGGACCAAATGTTCCGTCAGCCTTCAGAGAACAAAGAAACTGATGAAAACATTAAAGCCTGTTTATCAGTTTTGTATTTGTTCGTGACTTGGAGCAGCAGAAAGAATAAGAATGAGACTGAATGTGAAGTTACTGAATTCATCATCCATGAAAATAGTTGGATTCTTATTATTTTATTGGTTAATCATTAAATAATTTATCTTCATGAGTAACAAAATGACAGCATATGTAATGTCGTCATACAGTCTGGTGATTGATGATTATAAACAAACTGAATCTGATAAACTTACGTCTGAGCAGCTCACACTAAAAACAATGTTCAACAGTTCGGACAATTTCGTCATTTTCCGGTTATCGTTCCTTCTGACCAATCACAACACTGGTTCCTGCTTGTCCGCTCCTATTATTGGTCAGCAGGAGGTGGTTTGTTTTTGAATGTCAGACTCTCATTGGCTGCGTGTTTGAGGAAGCGTCGGTTTAAACCGGGGGGCGGCAGCGAGCTCAGTTTGAATCCGACAGACTGCAGCTCTGCGCGTACGGACCGACACCTCGACATCTGGTGAGTCCCGGCGGATCAGAGGAACACCTACCTGCCGTGTTTACCTGGACGGTTTATTTGTGTTTACCTGTTGTTCGTTTCCTCTGTGGTCCGGTTAGCAGCAGGCTAACAGCGGAGCTAGCCGTCAGTTAGCCGCTCAGCTAACAACCACAGCGCTGCTGCCGTTAGCATCATGCTAACGACCCGAATGGACCGGACAGCCGAAGGTTCAACCCGGTACCACCGGTCTGTTTAACCCGGTCCCTTCCCTGTTTTGTCTTCCAGCAGGAACCGGACCGTCAGCACTCATGGCCTCCCAGAACATGGACCCTGCAGCGGCTGCAGCTTCCTCCACAGCCGCTCTGAAGGGCAGCGAGAGCGGCGGCAGCGCGGCCCGAGGCTCGGTGTCCAAAAGGTAAGACAGACCGGGGTCCTCGTGTCCCTGCTTCACTTTACCTGCTCTGTCCTGCATCAGAACCGGCCCCGGTGCCTGTCCTGCATCAGAACCGGCCCCGGTGCCTGACCTGCATCAGAATCGGTCCAGGTGTCTGTCTTACATCAGAACCGGTCCCAGTGTTTAGGTGGTTGTAGCTGTTAGAACAGCTTGAACTGAATATCTGCACGGTTCTGTTTGCTGCTGCGGAGCGACTGACTTCCTGTTGGTGGTAGAAGAGCCTTTAGTGTCTCTGAGGTTCTGCTGATGTGAGGATGAGGACGGAGGATGTTTAACTGTGTTTGTTTCTGCAGGTTGCAGCAGGAGCTGATGACTCTCATGGTGAGTTCACCATTCAACACATCTGCTGCTTTCACCTGTGTCTGCTCACCTGCACCAGGTGAGCTGTTGGAGCAGGACGCAGCCGTCCAGCCTCTCCAACGGCCACTTCATGCTTCCTGCATCACGTGTGTTGGTGCTACAGTGGAGCCGGTCTGCTGTGACCCGTTACATTGGCTCATATCAGACAGGGATACGTGGGCTGTGGTTGGCACAGGAAGCATGGACTGGCCTCACCGCTGCTGTGATTGGTCGACATAACTGATGATTGTAATGCTAAACGTGTTGACGAAAAAACTTTTCATTGTAGCTTCTTGTTTCTGCTCAGAAGTTATTATGTTCCTGCAGTTTAACTGTAACACGTGGATCAATTATGTAAAATGAGCAGCCAATCACAGAGGACCGCTCACTAACGACCGTGTGACCTTTCCTGGCAGATGTCTGGTGATAAGGGCATCTCTGCGTTTCCAGAATCAGATAATCTCTTCAAATGGGTCGGAACCATCGATGGAGCTCAGGGGACGGTACGGACACTGACCGATCGATTGATTGATTGATGTTGACTTCAGTGTCGGCAGCTTCTTTCACTGCTCGTGTATTTCTGTTTTCTTCATCGTGAGCCCACCTCTGAAGTACTGACATACTCCAGTACTGTAGACAGGAAGTACTTTTAGAAGGGAAGTCGCACTCCAGATGTACAGATGTGTCTCACCTGTGCAGGTGTACGAGGGGCTCAGGTACCGGCTGTCCCTGGAGTTTCCGGCTGGCTATCCATATCAGGCTCCTCGTGTGAAGTTCGTCACTCCGTGTTTCCACCCCAACGTGGACGATCAGGGTTTCATCTGTCTCGACATCCTGAAGGACAAGTGGTCGGCGCTGTACGATGTCCGCTCCATCCTGCTGTCCATTCAGAGCCTGCTGGGAGGTAACACTTGAACCAGTGTGTCCATGTAGGACCAGTATCACCAGTGTGTCCANACCAGTGTGTCCATGTAGGACCAGTATCACCAGTGTGTCCAGTAGGACCAGTATCACCAGTGTGTCCAGTAGGACCAATATAACCAGTGTGTCCAGTTGGACCAGTATCACCAGTGTGTCCAGTTGGACCAGTGTGTCCAGTAAGACAGCAGACTCACAGCAAGCAGCTCCGATCAGCTGAACCATGTCGACTTTTACCCTCTGAAAACTACCACTACCAGCACTGGTACTACGAGTACTATTACTACCACCACTGGTACTACCAGTACTATTACTACCACCACTGCTACTACTAGTACTATTGCTACCACTGGTATCACTAGTACTACGAGTACTATTACTACCACCACTGGTATTACTAGTACTATTACTACCACTGGTACCACTAGTACTATTACTACTACCACTAGTGATGTGGTGAACTGATGCTGTGGAGCTAGGTCTGCACGGTAACTGATGCTGTGGCGCTAGGTCTCCATGGTAACTGATACTGTGGAGCTAGGTCTCCACGGTAACTGATGCTGCAGAGCTCGGTCTCCACGGTAACTGATGCTGCAGAGCTCGGTCTCCACGGTAACTGATGCTGCAGAGCTCGGTCTCCACGGTAACTGATGCTGCAGAGCTAGGTCTCCACGGTAACTGATGCTGTGGACCTAGGTCTCCATGGAAACTGATGCTATCCTGTTCCAGGTCCTGCTCAGCGTCTCCCTTTAACTGGTTCCTGATGATGGTGTTTTCTCTGTAAACCTGCTGATCTGTACGTTACTGAAACACTGAATGAAGCAGTTACAGCATCACACACTGGAGGCATCCTGTTGCCATGGAAACCTACATGTGTTCAGCTGCTGATGCAGAAATTACATTAACATGTACGGTGTGTGGAGACAACATTTTTCCAGTGTTGGTAACATCTGTGGACAATTGGGAGAAAACTGGAGTCAACACGAGTAAATAAATAGTCAAAGAAACGTTGCTTCTCTCTGGTCTCCATCATTCTGATCGAGTCCTGCTGACAGAAGACGTCTCTGAGTTCTCTCCTTCTTCATGTGGTTCTGGTTCCACAGAGCTGCAGGAACGGAGTCCAGAGAGTGAAGCAGCAGCTGATCTTATCTTGAGATCAGGTCCAGCAGGAACTCCTCGGTTCGGTTCCTTCTCTCTGTATTTAGCTCCAGACTGAATGTTTGTTTCCTCTCCAGAACCGAACAATGAGAGTCCACTGAACACGGCTGCAGCAGAACTCTGGGAGGACCAGGAGGGTGAGAACCACTACATTAGAACATTAATATGAACAGTTGCTGTGTCGGGAGTCTTCACATGTGTCGTTAGTTTTAACTCTTGAAGCTCGACAGACTTTTATTTTTATACTTAATTCCTGAACTCGTGAATGCAGCAGAATCCAACGCTTCATATTTACATAAAACATCAGCCCGGTTCCTCCTGTGTTGGCCTGGTTCTCCAGACCTCCATCTGGCCTGCTGCTGCTGATGATCCCAAAAGGGTTGTTTCAGTCAGAAATGTGGATGTGATGAGAGAAGTCCTGGAGCTCAGATCTTTGGTTCCTTCCAGAGTCTTTTCTTGCTGTGGGAAACGTTAGCTTGAAGACGTTCCTGAGTTTTTAGGCCGTTTGTTTTTTCTGTGAACTCAGATTCAGCCACGTCAATGATCAGTAACAAACCAATCTTAAAGAATGACGGATGTAAATGATGAGACCAAGTTAAGACTGGAGGTCATGAACAGTCAGAGCTCGCTGTCATGGTGGACCATCCACAACCATCACAACAGCACTCTGATCAGAGCAGCTCTGAGGGCTGCACTACGAAGCGAGATCAGTGGGTTAGCGAGGTATGTTGAGCTCAAAGCCGAGTTACAGCATCACACTGTAAACATCACGTTGCCATGGGAACCAGACGTGTATGTAGTTGCTGATGCAGAAATCACAT